TCCTAGAAGTAAATGAGAAAGGAGGGCTGTAAAAGCACCTGAAGAGGTAATGGCTGAAAACTGCCCAAATTTGGCAAAAAGGAACAAAACCAATCAACCAAGAGCAACAACAACAACAAAAACTCATAAACTTACTGATTCATGAAGCTAAGAAAACTCCCAAGACAATAAAATCAAGGAAATTCACATCAAGATATAAAAGAGCTAAACTTCTAAAAACTAAAAACAAAACAAAAATCTTGAAAGCAATGGAAGAAAAATGACAACTCACCAATAGAAGGGAAAGAATTTGAATAACAGTGGATTTCTCATTAGAAACCATAGAGTCCAGAAGAAAGTGGCACGTTTTTCAAATGCTGAAAGAAAAGAATTGGCAACTGAGAATCCTGTTGCCAGTAAAAATATCCCTCAGAAATGAAGGGGAAATTAAGATCTTCTTGGATGGGCAGCCCTGGTGGCTCAGTGGTTTAGCACTACCTTCAGCCCATGGTGTGATCCTAAAGACCTGGGATTGAGTCCCATATTGGGCTCCCTGCATGGAGCCTGCTTCTGTCTCTGCCTGTGTCTCTGTCTCTCTCTCTCTCTCTCTCTCTCTCTCTCTCTCTCTCTCTCTGTTTTTTCTTATGAATAAATAAATAAAATCTTAAAAAAAAAAAAAGATCTTGGATGAAAAAAAACTAAGAGAGTTTGTGGCCAGATCTGCCCTAAAAAATGCTCTTCTCCAGACAGAAAGGAACATGTTTTTAAAGGAATCTTAGAACATCAGGAAGGGAAAAAGAATACGGTAAGCAAAAATATTGCTAAATGCAATACACATTCTTTCTCCTCTTGAGCTTTCTAAATTATGTTTGACAGTTAAAGCAAAAACTACAGCATTTTCAGATGTGGTTGTGTTTGTAGAAAGAACAAACAGAAAACAAAAAATAAAAGCATAGACTTAAAATTTAACATATCTGTAATTACATTAAATTATTAATATAATAGACCAGATAGTTTCACAGAATTTTATCAAATGTTTGAAAAAATTAACACCAGTTCTGCACAATGTCTTCCAGTAAACAGAGGCAGAGGGAACACTTTCAGTTCAGTTTATGAAGCTAGTATTACCCCAATATCAAAACCAGACAACAGTATAAGTAAAAACTACAAGCCAGCATCCCTCATGAATACAGATGTGAAAATCCTTCACAAAACATTACCAAATAGAATTCAGTAATATATAGGGGCTCAGTTGGTTAATCATCTGCCTTCAGCTCAGGTCATGATCCCAGAATCCTAGGATCAAGTCCTGTGTTGGGTTCCTTGCTCAAGGGGAGTCTGCTGCTCCCTCTCCTTCTACTGCTCCCCCCAACTCATGATTACTCTCTCTCTCTCTTCCAGAAAAAAATAAATAAATCTTTAAAAAAAAGAATTCAGCAATATATAAAAATAATTATGCCTCAGGACCAAGTAGAGTTTATTCCAGGAATGCAAAGTTGGTTCAACATTCAAAAATCAATTAATATAATCCACCATGTTAATCAGCTAAAGAAGAAAAATTGCATGATCATATCCATCAATGCAGGAATTTGATAAAGGTTAACACCCATTCATGATATAATGCTCAGAAAAATAACAATAGAGAATTTCCTGGACTTGATGGAGAGCATCTATTAAAAAAACTATAGCTAACATACTTGATGGTTAAAGACTGAAAGCTTTCCCCTAAAATTGGGAACAAAGTGAGGATATCAGCCCTCACCACTTATATTCAAATAGTACTAGGCAATCTCACCAGTGCATTAAGACAAGAAAAGTCATATGGATTGTAAAGGAAGAAATAAAACTATCCCTATATATAGGTAACTTCACTGTCTACATAAAAAAATCCCAAGGAATCTGCAAAAAAAACAAACAAAACAAAACAAAAATCATCCCAGAACTAATAACTGAGTTCAGGAAGCTCACAGGATATAAAATAAACATACAAAAAATTGTTGTATTTCTCTATACTAGTAAAGAATATGTAGACACAAAAATTAAAAATACAATGCCATTTATAATCACACAAAAATATAGATATAAATTTAACACACATGCATAAGATTTTTATGTTGAAGACTACAAAATACTGATGAGGAAGATCTAAATGAATGAAGTGGCCATAGTGTGTTCATGATCTGAAGACCAATGTTGTAAAGTCATCAGTTCTGTGAGGTTCCTACCAAATCCCAGCAAAAATTTTGTAAATGTGGAAAAGATTATTCCAAAAATTATGTGGAAAGCCAAAGAAGCTAGAATAACTGAAACGGTTTTGAAAAAGAAGAATAAAGTGAGAATAATTCTACTTCATTTCAAGACTTATCTAGAAACCAAGGCTGTGTGTTATTGACAGAGGGATGATGCATAGATTAATGGAATGGAATAGAGGATCCAGAAATAGACCCACACAAGTGATCAATATTTGACAAAGGTACAGAAGCAATTCAATGGAAGAAAGGTAATAACCTTTTCAACAAATAATGCTAAAGCAAAGTAGACATCCATGGGCAAACACTAACAACAATAACAAAATATCTACCCAAGCCTCACTCTTTACACAAAAATTGGCTCAAATGGATCACAGACTTCAAGAAAGAATATAAAACTATAAAAATTTCAGGAAAAAAATTAAGAAGAAAATCTTCAGCTCAGACTTGATCCCAAAAGCATAATCCATAAAAAAATAAAAAATAAAGAGTTAAAGTGGAGTTCACAAAATTAAAAGCTTTTGCTCTACAAAACACTCTGTTAAGAGGACAAAAAGACAAGCTACAGGCTGGGAGAAAATATTTGCAAACCACAGAATCTGACAAAGTACAAAGTACCTGACATAAATTTAAAAAATTCTCAAAACTCACTGTTTAAAAACAAATTAATGATCCAATTAGAAAATGGGCAAAAATCATGAAGAGACGTTTCTCCAAAGAGGATGTGCAGATTACAAGTAAGCACATGACAAGATGTTGAACATCATTAGCCAATAAAGAAATGCACGTTAAGGCACGGAGGGGGACACTTGACGGGATGAGCACTGGGTGTTATTCTGTATGTTGGTAAATTGAACACCAATAAAAATTAATTTATAAAAAAAAAAAAAGAAAAAAGAAAAAGAAATGCACGTTAAAACCACAATGAGGGGGTGCCTGAGTAGCTCAGTTGGTTAAGTGTCTGCTTTCGGCTCAGATCATGATTTCAGGGTCTTGGGATGGAGCCCATCAGGTTCCCTGCTTAGCAGGGAGCCTGCTTCTCTCTCTGCCCTCCACCAGCCCCTGCTCATGCTCTCTCTCTCAAACACACACACACACACACACACACACACACACACACACAATGAGCTATTACACGCCTGTCAGAATGGCAAAAATACAAAATGCCAAATGCTGACCAGGATGCAGAAAAATTGGATCAGTCATACACTGCTAGTGGGAATGTAAAATGGTACATAGCCACTCTGGAAGACAGTTTGGATGTCTCTTTTAAACATGCACACAACCACATATGCAAGTACCATGCAACCCAATAATTACTCTCTTGAACATTTATCCCAAATAAATGAAATTTATGTTCACACAAAACCCCTATACAGAAATGTTTATAGCAGCTTTATTCATCAAAGCCAAGAACTGGAAATAACCCAGATGTCATTTACCAGATGAATGGATAAGCAAACTGTGGTCCATCCATATCATGGAATTATACTCAACAGTAAAAACGAGTGAACTACTGATACACGCACAACCTGATGAATCTCCGGAGAATTAGGCTGAATAAAGAAAGCCAATCCCCAAAGGTTAAATATTGTATGATTCCATTTGTAGAATATCATTGAAAGATCAATATTATAGAGATGAAGAATAAAATCATGATTTCTAGGAATTAGGGATGAAGGCAGGGAGAGAATGGGTGTGACTATAAAGGAGTGGCTCAAGGAAGCTGTGCTAGTAGAACAGATCTGTATCTTGATTGTGATGGTGTTTACATAAAACTAGAAAGTGATCCTATGGCCTAGACCTATCTACACACATACATGAATACATGTAACACTCATGAGATCTGAATAAGCTCCATGGGTTGTACTAATGTCACATGCCTGGTTTTGACAGTGCGCTATACTGCAAGATGTTAACTCAGGTCAGCTGGGCGAAGGTGCATGGGACCTCCTCTGGTGTGAGATGTTAACACAGGGATCAGCTGGCGGAAAGTGCACCGGACTGCCCTGTGGTGGGCAATGTCAACAGGGGAGTCAGCTGGAGGAAGATGTATAGGACATCCCTGAACACTGGGTCAGCTGGGGAAAGGTGTATGGAACCTCCCTATACATTCCTTTACAACTTGCTTTGGATGGATAATTATTTCAAAATAGAAAGTTACAAATGAATCAATGGATAGATAAGTAAATAAATGGAACCTGACATAGGAGAGACATTTAGCATCCATTCTCTTCTGCTGCTAAGAAACACTTCTACAAGCCAAGGCCTTTATGCATATTACACTTCAGCTACACCTTTCAAAAATCCTAAATGATAGGTATTATTATCTTTATCCTCCAGATGGAGAAGCAGACTCAGAAACATAAAGGCACTTGCCCAAGGGCATCTGTCTGTCTAGAGTTCATACTCGTGCCCACTCTGCACCACTACTTCTGCCCTTGAAGGCCACTACAGCTGCGGACGGAATACCCCATCTGACATCCTGCCAGGGGCCGACTTGCTTCCCTAAGAGGGACTGAGGCCTGGGAAGGGTGAAGCCCACAGGCAGGTCTTGATGAAGAAGTCAGGGGATGGGTCCCTGTATGGCAAGGTCAGCTCCTGGGAGGTAGTTGAGGAACATGACCACTCCTTCTTCTCTTCTGTCTCCACCCACCCCTGATGCTGGCTTTGCCCAGTGCCAGCACACAGCAGCTGTTCCCTTCCTATTCTTTCCTGACTGGCCCCCATCAGGCCACCCACCGCTAACCAATGCCATCTCCCCTTTTCCAGAGCTGAGCTTCATCACCCAGTCCCCAGAGGCAGCGAGACATGGGCCCCAGTTTCCAAATCCTGACGCCTTTCATTTAACCAGAAGACTTGGAGGGGTGAGTTGGAAATGGGTTTGGCTGGGGCTCGGAATGGGGTAGATATGGAAGAGAGCACTGTTTGGGGGGCTGCCGATGGAGGGTCAGCAGAGCAGGAAAGCAGAGTTTGACCAAAGCTCCCTTCCCTCTTGCAACCTCTACAAAGACGTATGAATTATTTATGTACCATTGTTTTGGTTTAGGAAAACTGCCCCGAATTCCTTTTGCATTTAAATAGGGATTATGGCCTAGAACTTGGAAAAGGAAGTCACCATCACTTGACATGTAGAGCGGAGTCTCAGTTCCCTAGTATGTACAATGGAGATAATGGCAACATCTCCTTCCTGTGAAGGCCCAGCAAAGATGATCCATGTAAAGTAGCTGGAACCTAGTAGATGCTTAATAAATGCTTGTTGACTGAACAGACATGCTGGGTGCCTATTGCAGGTTAGATAAATGGGGCAGCCCTCTCTCTGGGGTTACACTGCCACTCTGCCTTCTGGAGCTAGCCCATATGGCAGTTCTGTAAGGTTTCTCCTATTCCTTACTGGGAAGCATGTCTTCCTCTGTACTCCTGAAACCCTTTGTTTGGCCTCTGTTATTGTCTTGCTCGGTCTATCTTGCATTATATACCTATGAACCTCAGAGTCCAGGCCTGTACGCCTAATCCCACCTCTATCAGAAACCAGAGCTTGTGCAATTCATCTTGCAGCATCAGACCCAACTTACCTTCAGAAGGAATGTCCTCTGAGCCAGAGCTCAGAAACATCATCTCATCTGACCTTACCAGGTGGCATTGTTAGCAAGATGGGAAAACTGACCTAGAGAGAAATAACCTCCCAGACAGGAGTGGGGGAGAACCAGGAGACATGTCCAAGATTCTCAGCTCACTTCTTACTATGGGGAGGGAGCAGACATGCAGACTGGCCATGCTTCTCTGTCCCCCACCTCACAGATCACCCAGATTTCTGACTTTGCTGGAGTTTTGCTTCTTGCCCCAATACTTTGGGGCTAACCAGATTGTTTCCAAACAAGTTACATAATTGCTCACATATTATTTATGCCATCTCTTGAATATTAAACAATCGATAGTATGGAACAGAAACATGGGCGTTTAAACCTAGCAGCTTTTGACAGGCGTGGGTGGGGAAGGAGGTTGAGGAGAGCCATCTCTGAGCCATTTACAGGAGAAGATGACATCTCCCCTCTTCTTTTCCTGAGATGGGCTGAAAGGCTTCCCAGGCCCATGGTTGGTAACCACGTAGTAGAATTTTCACTGTGGGTTTCGGCCTCTTTTATTACATAATGACAAAAATGCGTTATCATTTCCCTAAAGGATGAGTAAAGCCAGAGCCTGACCACGTGTTTGCCTGTTCTCAAGTGCTTATTGAGCACCCTCTGTGTGCAGTCACTGTTAGGCTTTTATTCACTCTGGAGTGCCCTCATGAATGAAACAAATGAGATCCTCATCCTCATGGTACTGACCCTTCAGTGGACAGGTGACCAGATAAATAGATGGCTTCAGAGCATAACAAGCACTGTCACTGTGAACAGAACAAAATGGGTAGCAGGTGGGATTGGCTGGCAGTCCCCTGAGATGGGAGCATTTGACTGGAGGTCTCCATGGTAGAAGCAGCCAGCCCTGCAGAGGTCCAGGGTTGGGGAGAGTGTTCCAGGCAGATGGGAGGTCACCCAGGAGCAGGTAGCTGGGGCGGGGTTGGGGAAGAGTGAAGAGGATGGTGGGCTGGGAGGGATGAACAGGAGTCCAACATAGGTGATGCAGGTGAGGAGTGCCTACTGAGGGTCAATTGGGCCAGGCCTGGGCAATGTATTAGGCTGTTGTCAGGAACACCAGTTTACAAACCATCTCCTGCCTCCCCCAGATGTGGACAGTACTTTCCACCAGCTGGGCAGTGCTGGGAGCAAGAGACAACACACGGGAAAGTGCTTCATAACAGGTGAAAGCCTGCACAAACGAGGGCTTGAAAATGCTTGAGCACTCTTAAACACCTCATCCTTTTAGAACATTGGAACGTTTCCTTCCATCCTGTTTTCCTCAGTGAGAGAATGGAGAAAAACATGGGCTCTGCTCCTGGCCAGACTGCGCCAGAGTCTGAAATACAGGAAATGGAGCAAAGAGGTGGGGTCAGTGCACCAAAACCCCGGATACCAGCTTGTTGACTCTGGGAAGCCCTTTCCATGTCAGATCAGTCTGTGGAGGTGGCATGGTGCAGGGTTGCCAGCCAGCCTGCACAGCCCACCTCTACTAGTTTCAGGTTCTGGCAACACAATCCTGGGCAAGTTGTTTCAATGCTCTCTCCCACCTCAGTTTTATAATCTTTAAAATGGGAGTAGGAAGCTCTTTGCTTTGAAGATATTGGAAAGATTACATGGGAGAGAAAATATGATGTATCGAGCATAGCCTGGGATGTCAGCGGTGCTCAGTGGGTTTCTGTTCTCCTGCTGGTCCCCAGTGGGGACAATGGCCTCAACCAGTGAGGACCCCAGGCCCCTTTCTGCTGGGACCATGTCAGACTCTCAATTGCACAAGCACTGAGAACAGTTTGCCATCTGTATCACTTTACTGGGGCTGCTGTAACAAAGCACCACAAACTGCGTGTCTTGAAGACACAGATACTTGTTGTCTCATGGTTCCAGAGGCAGAAAGCCTGACACCAAGGTGTCAGCTAGATTGGTTCCTTCCAAGACCCATGAAGGAGGATCTGTTCCTAGCTCCTGGTGGCTTAGTGGGCAATCTTTGGCGTTCCTTGGCTTGTGGATACATTACTCTGATCCCGTACCTTTTATATCATCTTCTGTGTGTGTGTGTGTGTACATCCAAATTTCCCCTTTGTATAAGGACACCAGTCATACTGGATCAGAGCCCACCCTAATGACCTCATCTTAACTTGCTTGCCGTTGTAAAGATCCTATTTCCAAATAAGGTCACATTCATGGTTACTGAAGGTTAGAACTCCGAAGTACCTGTTAGAGGAAAGGCCTAGTTCAACCCATAACACTATCATAATTGTTTGAAGTGGATTCTGGAAGGGCCATCAGTGCATTCATGACATTTCTTAAATAGACTGAAAGAATATTTTACATCATTTTCCAAAAGGGCAACATCCTTCTCAAAATCACTCCTTAGCTTCCAGGAGCTTCCCATTAACTCTTGGCCTTAACAAACTCCAGCGTGGGTCTCTTGGGTCATCATCTTCCATAAAGAGCAAGCAAGCAAGCTTGATCCCAAGCTCTCTGTTAATCCCAACTGTGCACTGAACTCAGGGAACACGGGAAGCCAGAGTCCTAGCCTTGGAGGCAGTCACAGGGGAGGGCCATAAGGAGAGGCAGGCATACAGGTGATTGTTATAATTGGACAGGTCAGTGCTGGGGCCACAGGGCCCTTCCCGGCAGGGATTCTCAAGGGTGAAGGAAAAGGCTTCTTTTGTAGACTGCTTCTTATCTTTATCTCCTTGAAGGGGAAAATGTCTTCCTGAGTCCTGAAAGCATGGGAGAGACCCCACTGGCTTTTGTGTGGGCAGATAACTAATCAGTCACTCACATTTCATTTTGCGATAAGACTTGCTCTTGAGTCTCTGCCTACGCAGGAAATCCCAAGTGCAGAGGAACCCAAATCGCCAGCTTGGCCAGGGTCCCTGGAGAGGTCAGGGGTCAGTGGTAGACTCCCCTTCCCGACACATCCTCATCTTTAAAATAAGCTCTCGTACTCCCAATTATTGAATGTTCCCATGTTGCATGAACTGAGGGCCAATAATCTGCATTTCGGCTGCCTCAGTGACCACTGAGGACAGTGCACTGCAATCTGGTTGGCATGCAGCAGACTAGACACAAGCATGCTGAGGTGCTAGGTTTGAATCCCAGTACTGCCAGTCGAGCTCTGTCTGTGATCCTAGGTGAAGCTTGTCACTTTTCCAGTCTCTGTTTCCTCATGTGCAATGTCAGAATAGTTCCTGCCATACAGGTGAGGGATGTCTGTAAAGGACCTCATGTGGTACTGGGCAGCCAGCCCGCATTCTCTGGCTTCTCTCTTTGGGCCTCAGCTTCCTCCCCTGCAAACAGGGGTGTGGGAACAGATAAGTTATGGCCAGCGCCGTATGGCTCTTGGGAGCCATCTCCAGGGAGTCTAGCATTTGGCTGGGTAGAGAAAGCCTCCCATGCCTACAGGACTGCTCTGCCAGGAGCTCACTGTGTGACCTGGGGTGACGGTCCTCTGCCCTGCATAGGCCTAGTGGTTCCCGATGACTATGGCAAGGTGTCCAGAGGATCTGACTTGGCGCAACCATCCAGAGGTCTGAGTTTGTGTCTCACCAGGGGCCAAACGTTCTCTTTTCCCCCTCCCCCATTCTCATGCTGCACATCTTGAAGTCTCCAAGACCCACCCAGGGTTGTAGAACCAGGAGCTGAAGCTGCCAAATGAGATGCTCCCCATCCCATGTCCAGGTATCCAAGGCCTGTCTGGCACACTGGAAGCAAAGCGTCTTCACAGGAAAAACCCTCAGCACCTAGCACAGGGCATCTCTCCTAGTTGGCCCTAACAAATTCTTGTCAAACTGACTGCATTGCTGAAATCAATTCACCCAGACTTCAGAGGAAAGAATATTTGCCCCTTCCAGAGGCCGGAGGCAGCAGAGGTAAACGTCCCCAAGACATTGTATTTCTAAAAAGGAGCTAAAGTAGAGGGAGTAATTGAAAGAAAACAGCCGTGCACTAGTGGTGGACTTGTGGGCACCCATGGTCAGGAAGGCTGGGGATGGGCTGCACCCCAATCTGTCTTCCTCTACATTTAGTTGCAGGGTAAGGTCTGACCCCAGGGCTGGACATGATGCCACTGGTGTTCATAATGTCTCCGGGAGGGTAGGGGGAGGTGGGCGGGTATCCTGCTTATTGAAATGCTTCCAAGTGAGGATTAAACAAAGAATTATATAGGAAGTAGAGTGGGCTCGTGGCATGGTGAAGAAATCATGAACTTTGGGTTCAAGTTGGGCCCTGCTGGGCAAGTG